CTTTGGTTATTTTCTGTCTAATTCAATTATTCAGAGAGGAGTATTGAAATTTCTTATTATAATTGTGGCTTTGTCTATGTTTTCTTGCAGTAATATCCATTTGGGCTTCAAGTTAGAAGCTGTTACTCAGTTCATAAACCTTTAGAAGTGTTATGTCTGCTTCTTGAATTGGCCCTTTAACATTGTAATGTAATCCTTTTTACATCCAGTAATATTCTTTGCTCTGAAATCTACTGTCTGGCATTCATATAGCCACACTGGCATTCTTTTGACTAGTGTTGCTTGGTATGACTTCTACTTCTAATCCATTTGTGCTTCACATTTAAAATACATTTACTTGGTAAGCCACATATACTTCCATCTAGCATTTTAATCCAATCTGACCCTCTCTGCCTTTTAACTGGGGGCATTTAAACCATTTTCACTTAGTACAAGTACTGATATGGTTAGATTTAAATCATTTTGCTTTTTGTTTTCTGTTTGTTCCATCTATTCTTTCTTCTTCTTTTCATTTTTCTCTGTCTCCCTTGATTAAGTGAGTATATTTTATTATTCTAGTTTTTCTCCTTTGTTGACTTATTAGCTGTAATTGTGTTTAGTTGTTTTAGTAGATGCTTTAGGTTTTATAGTATACATCTTTAACTTGTAGTCTATCCTCAAGTGATGAACTACTTCATCTACACTGTAAAAACCTTATCATAGGAAACTTCTATTACTCCCTTCCCAATCTTAATGCTATTGCCCTATATTTTACTTATGTATATGTTATAAACTTCACAGTACTTGTTATTTAACCAGTCAGTAATATTTCAAAGAGAGTGAAATAATAAGAAAAAAATCTTACATATTTGCCCGTGTAGTTACAATTTTTGGTTCTCATCATTTCTTTCTGTTGATCCATAGTTTTGTCTGGTATGATTTTTCTTCTGCCTAGAAGGACTTCCTTTACATTTCTCATGGTGTAGATCTGTTGGTGATTAATTTTTTCAGCTTTTGTATGTCTGAAAACATCTGTTTCATCTTTTGGGAGGGAAATATTTTAACTCGCTATAAACTTCTAGGTTGACAGGGTTTTTATGTTCCTTTCAGACTTTAAAGATGTCAGTCCACTGTCTTCTGACTTGCCCATTACTCACAAGAAATATGCTGTCATCCTTACCTTTATTTATATATACTGTGTTTTTCTTTTCCTCTGGGTACTTTACAGATTTTCTCTTCATCATTGCTTTTGGACAATTTGATTAGATTATTTGTACCTCATAGTTTTCTTCATGTTTCTTGTGCTTGGAGTTTGTTGAAATCTCTTGATCTGTGGGTTAATAGTTTTCATTAAATTTGAAAACATTTCAGCCATTATTTCTAGAAATTTTTTTTTTTGGACCTCCCCTCCTTCTATCCTTTGGGGACTCCAATTACACATATATGAGATTACTTAAATTTGCCCCACAGCTCATTCACTGATCCTCTTTTAATTTATTTCATTCTTTGTTTCTATCTGTATTTCATTTTGGATAGTTTCTATAACTTTGTTTTCAAGTTCATTTATCTTTTCTTCTGAAATGTCTAATCTGTTATTAATTCCATCCAATGTATTTTTCCTCTCATACATTGTAGTTTTCATCTTTAGAATTTTGATTTGGGACTTTAAAAGTATCTTTCTTGTCTCTATTCATTTTTTAAAATACAGTGAATATGACTATGGTAACTATTTTAATGCTCTTGTTTGTTAATTCTAACATCTGTGTTAGGTTTAGGCTGGCTTTAGTTGTTTGATTTGTCTCATTATAGGTTGTATTATTTCAATTCTTTGCATGCCTGGTAATCTTTGATTGTGTGCCGGGTATTTTGGGGGGGGAGGGGCAGAGGGAGAGGCAGAAAGAAATTCCCAAGCGGGCTCCACGCCCAGCACAAAACCCAACACAAGGCTCAATCTCATGACCCTGAGATCATGACCTGAGCTGAAATCAAGATTAGGGTGTTTGACCGACTAAGTCACCCAGGTGCTCCCAGGTATTTTATATTTTACCTTCTTAGAATCTGAATGTTTTTATATTCCTGTAAATGTTTCTGAATTTTGTTCTGGGTCACAGTTAAGTTATTTTGAAATAACTTATAATAAGAAAGGGAAAAAGGAGTAGAGGATGTATGCAAAGGAGTAATTAAAATTATTGGCTATGGGATGTAAGCTGGGTAAGGAGGAAAGATAAACATTATGGAAGAGAGATAGGGACATGGTGATGGAATTAGCAGATTGTTGGCCAGCAGGACTGAAGAATGGTTGGGATTTGAGTAACTTCTGGAAGGGATGAGCTATGAAAGGGCTGGTCAGAGAGTAGGTCAGAGTTTCAGTTATTCAAAAAGACAAGGTCTAGAACAATGCTACTCAACAAATAGGCCATACACTGGAGCCAATCCGTGAACTGCATGTTACTGATCTGCAATGAGGTAAGTTCAGAAATTGAAAGTAAATATTTAGGAACACTACTGTGATATCCAAGCATATGATCAGTGGACTTGTGTTTAGAATGTCTTGGCTTTTAAAATCTCATTTGCCTATTAATTTTTACTGTATTTTATGAAACTGCCAATCTGCAACAGATTGGATATAAACAACAAAAAGTCTGGTCCTTCTCTACAACTAAAGTACTGCTCTAGATGATTGTCATGTGATTTATATGAGAAGGGTGGAGGGCAAGGTCATTGGAAGAGAAGCGTTGGAAGGACCAGTTCCTTGAATATAGAAGTCACCATCACCAATTGCCTTGTAAGATAGAAGGCCTCCTGATTGCACAGCTCCAGGGGGCACTCTTCTCATTGTATACTACATGAACACCACAAATCCAGAATACAGTGTGAATGGTGCTCTGTGAGTGTTCAAGAGGGTGGTCATTGTTATCTCCATTTTACAGATGGGAAAGCAAACTCCAAGTTCACACAGCCAGTCAAGGAAGGAACCAAAATTTTTTGGGAGGGTCTGTCACACCAAAGCTGAACTCTGTTCTGTATACCACTCTTTGTCATATGCTTATGGTTATGGGGACACCATAGCCATAAGCCTCATGAGAACTAGGAAAAAATGCTTTTTGGGAATGTGTTGTGGTCCACATGGCCAAGCAGTGCATTTCAGTTTCTTTTAGAATTACTCTTGTTACATCTGCTGTGATAATCCATAGCCAGTTGCTGCCTAAACCCCATCTCTCCATTTGTCTTTGTTGAACCAAGAGGCTGAAGCTCCTCAGGAATCCAGTATCCAATATCCACCACAGGATTTCCTACACTTTCTGTTAATGAGCTTTAGTAATTACTTATGTATTAGAAACATTTTCTAAATAATGGTTTATGGAATGGTAAGATTATGAGTAATTTTAACACTTTTCTCTTTTTCCCAAAATTTGTGTGATGGGTACATTACTTTTATGATTTGAAAAAGTCAAGTATAGATCTATATTTTAAAACAGATTGTTCATGTAGAAACTTTCTAAGACACTTAGGTCTCTGGTGAGGGCTGAACAGGCCTGGTTTCCCACCAAGCCCGAGTCCCAGTTGCACAGGAGGCCTCAGCGTTTCCATAAAAGTTGGTATTGGTCGTGTCCCATTCTCTCCAGGTGTGTGGAGTTTCTGAGGAATTAATGTAAAAACAAAGTAAGCATTAATCTCTTGGGGCTTTCCTGGTTTTCTCCATTCCTTGACTCTCCAGTAGGCCTAAGCAAATACAAGAGTAGAGTTAATTTATAAAGCTTGTTTAAGTGTCATAGAATGACAGGTTCTTCTGGAAAGCCCTCCCTGGAGCTCTAAGTCTATATGCTTATCCAACACATAGGACACAGCATCGGAATTATGGGTTTATGTGTCCGCATGTCCTGCTTGGCTGCCATCAAGAAGGCACCACCTGTGGCCCAGCACAGGGCCTGCCACATAGTAGGTGCTCAGTAACAATGAGTTGAATGAGTGAATGGGCAACTGATGCTCAGTCTGCATAGATATTTTCATGGTGATGTGTTCAATTTTTTCTACCTTAAGAAATTCACTAGCACTAATGTTTATTAGTGAACATGGGAAGAACTTTTGGACTTATCAAATTAAGACTTATTTTTGTATTCAAACATACGGCTTTTCACTCTGGGAAGATGTAGAAGAAATAAAGAACCCACCAAGATAAGCAAATGTAACTGGACAGGGTAGGATATGCTCACTTAGTTTGGTTTTAAATAATAATCAAAATAGAAAAGAGGAGCACAATTTTACTTTGAAAAATAGCACGGCAAATTAGTTTTGATGTGGAGAGAGGAATCATTAAAATACTTTAATATGGTAAAATGCTATTCATCACAATTATTAATTAAAATAACTTAAAATCTTTCATTGGCTTCATAAGCATAACTAGAATTTTTAAATATGTATTATTAATTATTGTTGTTAATGTGAGGTTTAAAACCTGATCCTCTTTTGGGAGACTAAGTGTCAGGATGGGTGAATTTTAAAATGTGCCTAAAACCTGAGAACTACTAAATGAAAGTTGCCTTTTTTTTTTTTCGATCTTGCCAAATCGCTCATTTTGTCAATAAGAAATGCAATTGACATGCCAGGCAAGATAGATACACACTAGATTTCACATCATTTATTTTTATAAATTTGTATTCCAGTCAGATGGGGAATACTTTGATCTCAATGTGTACCTCATTGATGTTAAGAGTCTAGACTCATTGTAATGACTATGGTAAAAATAAGATATTTTTCCCTGGTTCATCTACAAACTATAAAAACTAGCACAGGCTTAACTATTGTCTAAATAGAGAATTCTCCCTCTTCTGGATTTGAAGACTAAATAAAATATAGAGCAGACACTTCCATCCCTAGTTTTTTTATTAATACCTTTTGAAATAATTTGTATATACTTTTAAAATAATTTCAAGTGCCACAAAAAATAATGTTAATAGCTCAAAATCAAAAGTTAAAAAAACCACCTAAGTATAATTTTTAAAAATCTTTTTCTCCTCAAGCGTTTTACGATGGGATAATGAGACAGATGTCTCTCAACTGGAAGGACATTTTGACATTGTTATGTGTGCTGACTGGTAAGTACATAAAAATCATAAAACTCCTGTTAGGAAAAATAGCTTTGCTGGAGTAATTGGGCTGTGCTGCTTTGCTGACGGCTAAGCAAAGTCAACAAATGAAGCACAAAGCCACCTTAACCTCAACAAATTAATATTCATCTCCATGTGACAGTTATAAGGTAGTCTTCTATCACACAGTAACTTCTACCACATTATTTCCCAAAGATTGATTTTGAGAAGCATTTCCATTTTCTGGAATTGCCTCTGTTTCATGCTTGACGTATCAGTAAATGGACGACTTAGGCAAATTGCAAATAATTATGGCTCGGAGAGGAATAGTCTGGAGAAAAAGGAGTTTATCAACACAAACAGCTCAATTAGCTTACTTCTTAGGAGAGATCTGACTATTGATATAAGGGAATATATGTATATGTGTGTACACACACGTATATGCTCCAAAACAAATAAACGTATTTGTGCAATATCTTTGGGGGAATGTCTTTTCTTAAAATGTATGTTTGCTATCTAAATTTTCAATGTCTTCAATTAAGATATTTAATTATACACAAAACAGGAATTATAACATTACATTTTATTGTTACGCAAATAACAAAAATCTCTGTCAGGTGCCTGCTTTTTAAAAATAATTTACATTAGATATTTTGTCTTCTCATTTGGCTTAGTCTACTTACTGTTAATGAAGTCTGATCCTAAGTTACAGGATAAATATGTATCAAACCTTAATAAGTATTTCAAATAATCTTAGGTATTTTCTTCATGCGTGTTGAATAATAACTATTTAAGCATATGGAAACATTGACAGTTCAAAAGTATTTTCCCTGTTAAGAGTAAGATCTTATTTGTAGTTTCATTATGTTTTTATGACACTTGAGATTTGAAAACACAAGTTTGGATTCTGAAGAAGTTCTATGGTATTGATCAACCCAATTATAAGATCCAGAACCTGGAGAAGACTTTCCCTAGAGGGGAGTTAGATGAAATTTTCAGGCAATCATTATTATTATTATTTTAAATAAGACTTTCAAGAGTTAACTCTTCTATGTAAGTCATTGGAATCAGAATCGCTTTCTGTTTTTCTTCTGAAAAATACTTCTCAATGGAAAATAAGTATTCTGTTCTATTTCTAGCTGAGATTTTCTAGCTTTCCATGGCCCTTTTATTGTCTTTGTACTGGATTTCAGAAAAACCTTGTTCCAAAGAGGGAGAAACAGATTTTGGACTAATCATTGATATTGTGCCTAATGTTACATCCCTCATCTAATCAAAAATAAGGAGCTAAAACCTCACCATATGATTTGAGCAAGTAATTTAGTAAATGCCTCTCCTCACCAAATATGAGAAAGGATCCTCCAGGTTTCATTGCACAGATGAAGATAATGCTAGCAGGATTAGATCAGATTAAGCATGAAAGTCAGATCAGAGAGCAGCAGAAAGAGGGAAGGAGGGCAGCATATTCTTGGAGGTTTAGACAAGGGTTGCACGCGTGGGCTCCAGATATGTGGAGAAAGTCAGGTCTGGCCAGGAGATTTAGAGTTAAATGTATCCTTCACATAAATATCAGAACAGCCTGGCTTTGTCAGACCTTGTGTTATGGACACTCACACCATGTCATCCTATTTGTACCAGAGACAAGCAGAGGAAGTAAGATTTAAGCTCTTTTCTGATTAATGTTCTCAGGTTAAAAATAGCCACACAACATGTTTGAGAAATAGTCCTTTTTCCCTAGCGAACAACAGGGTCACGTACAACTGATATACATAATGCATATTCAATGAAGGCTTTCATTACAAATACATAACATAGTACAATGTTAGATGTACACACACACACACACGCACACACATCTGGTAGCTATGTGAGAATTTACAGATTCAAATGAACTAAGTACGCCAAGTTTTATTTTATAAATGGCTTTTCTATGTGTGAGGTGTTAAGTTGGTTTTTTTTCCCCCTGGTGTTGTAAGTGCCAGAATGTCAGCCTGTTTATAATTTCCCATTTGTAAATGTGAAACATTAAGCTACTCTCACTGCAATGCTGGTATTATTTCCAAAAGAAATGCTTTGGTCTCTCTTCATATTCACAGGGATGGGTAAGCTGCTTAGAAACTTAGAAAGCACAGTGATATTTATAATATGCATGTTGTGCACATAGCAGTGAAGCCACGCTCTGGGAGCTCTTTATTTCCTGTTGGTTTGGTGTTTCTCTGTCAGTTATTATGTGGGTGCTGCTTCTAGGGACAGGCAGGCAGACCATGCTGCATTTTTTTTTTTTACAGTGTCACAGAGGAGGAAAAAAAAACACCTCTCTTTAGACACTAATTCCAAGATGAAACCTGAAATACTCAGTGGCAGAAATAGGTGCCACACAGATCACACTGTCTCACATCACCCTTTGGTTATTGTCAGTCAATGAGATCTGGATTAGGCCATAGGAATATGAAGCAAGAGTTGGAGTTCAAATATTAGGTACATGGATTAAATTCCTTATTGAAGCATTTCCAGCAAGGGTGGCATTGTCTCATTCCCTGAATAGCTAACCAGTGGTCCTGCTTGATCCCATTTACATGAAAACAAGCCCTATTCACAAATCTATTCCAAACCCACATTGTGGTTCAAGTAAAATGCACATGATTACAACGAGCACGGGTGATATGTTTATGTTTTTAAATCACTCATATATTCATGTATTTACATTCAAACATTCATAAGCCCATGGGCTATGGGGGAAATAACTTATTTCCCAGAAGAGACAGGCTCCTTAGTTCACATCTACATTTAGGAACTCCACCAGATTATAAAATAAAGAGGAAAGCTCTGAAAGCTAGTCATTATTTCACCATTCAGCATTTTTGACAATGAAATATAGTTTCATGGTTCAACAGTTCCTAAATAACTTGTAAAATGTCAACTTTGAAATAAACAGAAGGAAAAAATCGAGGTACAGCCATACCTGTGAAAGGATGCTGTTGACAAACATCAAAATATTAGAATATTTAACCACAGGTGTAGAAAAAAAAACCTGCCTATTAAGTTCCTTGGTTGACTTATTTAACATCAAATTTCATATAAGAGTTCCTTTCTGCTGGAATGCAGTCCAGCCTGGTCCTTGCTGAGTTTAGAATAGCAAGTGATTGTTAATTTTCAGCCTACCTTTCCAGACTCCTGTTCAATCACAATAATCTAAAAGTCTGGAAGTAAGATTTTTTTTTTTATCCAAGGAATGCTTTCAGTGAATGTTTGATGGCTTTCCAGTTTATTGTAGCTCTGCAAAAATAAACATGATTCTGTACATTTGGATTCTCTAAAGGCTTGGAAAGCAAGTCTGAAATGCCACCCGTAGCCTGACACATTGAGCTATAGCACGTCGGCGCGTGCAATCTGAGACTTTGCAGAGAAATGGGGGAAGGTTACACCACTTCACTGGCTCTCTTAGCATTTTTGCACTATGTACCGTGGATTGTTTCTATTTTCTATTATTCTGTAAAGTTTGGTTTTTAAGGTATTCTTCTGGAAGAAATTTTTTTTTTCCTCAAAACAGTCTCCAGAATTTCTTCGTTTTCTTCTAGATGCTGTGATCATGGATAGTTCTAGGTCACAACCTTTACACCTGAAAAACTCTTTAACACAAAGGCAGCCAGCCCTTTCACCCCATACCTAAAACTCAGTCCCAAAGAAGATAAGCAAGCTGCCAAAGATCTGGCACCCTAAGTGGTAGCCCCAAGGGAGACCAGACCTCCATTGGTCCCAGTTCCACAGCAATTAGCTGGTAAATACTGATAGAGGCCATTCTTCTGCTGAAAGTCAAATCTAAAACAGTGAATTTAACTTAGCACATTTCACCTTCAAGAGGACATAGAGGCCTCCTTCCTGTGGATCCTGGCCGAGAAATGCTTTTTCGTTGCTTACACTAATTAATTTCCCAATGAGTGGAGTGGTAGATGCTCTGTGGTCTGCATAACACTGATTCTAAGGGAGGTGGTGAGAATGGCCCAGCACCTTCCTTTGTCATGAAATCTGTGATTCAGATCCATGGAACAAAGCAAGAGTTGATGTCACAAGGGCATTATATAGAGGGCTGTGTGTGTGTGTTTTAATAGCCAAACTAGAGCGACTGTCATCGATGTATTTTGATCAGTAACAGAAGGGAGAGTTGAAATGGTATCTCCATTCCAATCAGTGATGCACTCAGCCTTTTTTTAAATAGATCCACTTAAGCTACTGTTATTCTCTGAGCCCATTAGGACTTATTTAAGGAGTGAATTTTCAGGAGATTATGTATCACTCCCACTAAAGCACATTGCAGTTGCTCATACAACATATCCTACAAAGCATTATAAATTCTGCATCAGAGCTAAGTAGAAAGGTGAGCTTGCTTGGAATAAAGACTTATTAGAGAACTATAAGAATTACTTTTGGGAAATTTGATTTGGAAGGATGAAGTACTGTGCTTGCAGTGCGTAAATGAATAGAGACCAGAAGCTCTTTGAGATGGGAACTTTGTTTTTTTCCTAGCTTGCCTCCAATGCCTAAAACAGCCAATAGCATGTAGTAGGTGTTCCACAAATACTTGTCAGCTAATATATATTATTGATTTGATGCCCACCACAGCCACGTAAGTAGGCCTTTCTTGACTGGGAAACTGAGGCCTTGTGTGAAGGCCACACATAGCAGAGAGGTCACATAGCAGAAAGGTCAGAGTCAGAGAGCTGTTAGACCCTGCCTGCAGTGTGACTCCACACAGCAGGCCTCCTACTGACAGCTCATAGTCCCCCTTAGCTCAGAGGAGGATGAGGCAGGGCCCTAGAATAAGGGGTACTTATTCGTGCTATGTGAAGAGCAGGGAGACCAAGTCAGAGGGGCCCACAGCAAACTGCAGCATTAGAAATGGGAGCAGGGGGGCTCCACCTAGCCCCTCATGGGATGGCTGATGCACAAGGCTGCTCAGTGCTCTGGCCCACGAGTCCCAGATAAGGGAAATCTGCCCCAAGCTTCCAAGATGAGGCCTGGTGAAGACAGGCTCAGATGGACCCAACCAGAGGGGTGACAGAGCAATAACAGAAAATCTCAAAAGACCAGAGGAGAATAATGAAAAATCACAGTGAACTGGAAAAAAATCAACATGAAGGTCAAGGGAGAAAAACCCGGAGTTGCCCTGCCATGGTCTCTGTGATACCTAGCCCAAATCTGGTCTTTGTTCTTGGAACTATTTACTCCTGGGTCACTGGTTGAGTCTGACCTCAGTGCTGCTCCTGGTCACTAAAAACCATCACCACCTGAGATCTGTTCCATGGTTTGGGCATCATAGGGCTGGTGTTTGTTTCTGGAGGGTGACCTCACAATACCCTCAGTGGGCTCATGGCCCAGGTCTACAGAAACTGGGCTGTAATGACGGGAAGTATTTCATCTCAACCAGATTATTCCCCCAAATAGCAGCTTAGATATTGTCCCTTTAACATTAATACGTGGCCCAGTCATGTGTGAATCCTGGCCAATTGCATGTTGATGACTTGGCTTTGGTTGGACAACACTGACCACAATTTTTTTTCTTCCAGTGAGACACTTGAATGGAAGGAAACAATTTCTCCCCTTTTGGTGTTGAGTAAACATGTGTAATTAGCCTTGTACTTACCTCCATTAATATCATTAGACTTGGAAACCCAGTTTAATCTGGATTCTGCTCTCTTCTCAATGTCAGCCTGTTTCTGGACCAGTACAGAGCCAGCCTTGTTGATGCAATAAAGAGATTGCTCCAGCCCAGAGTAAGTATGTTTCTATTTTCTCCTGAACACTGGCTTCAGAATAATTAGTCTGTGCACAAAGATGGAGAGAGTAATGGAATGGCAGGATTAATGTCATGTAATACTTTAATACTTATTATGTCCAACTTCAATTGGGTCTTCTGATCTATCAGATTCTTTCCTAATCATAACTAGGAAACTTCTTACCCTTGGCCTTCCGATAAGGAACACAGTGGGTAGTAAAATAAATGAAACCGCTTCAAAGATAGTGTGAGATTATTTTTATCAAAGAATTTCTTGAGTCTTTTCCTTTGATAACAATATCTTCATATTAAAGTAGAAGTATGATATGGAAAGTTTTCTGTTGACTTCTGTCATTTTAAATCCCTTCAATGGTAACCTTTGTCATTGGGTATTTACTTATTGCAAAAGAATATTTTTTTTCTTTTTCTTTCTGTTTATATCAAAGAAAAAGGACTTCAGATGAATCTGTATATTAAAAGTTCTTTGCTTTAAAAGGAAGCCATTATTTACATATTATAAACATTAGGTTACAATGAAGCCAAGCATGGCATAAAATATTGTGCACATTTTTACATTTATATATCCATTTATGCCTGTGAGTAAATTACAGAGTTTGTAGCCACTCTTATTTTGTTGGGCTGTTACACTAAGCTAGGAGGTCCTGCAGCCTAACTGGAGAGTTAATACACATCTATTTAAAGTAAGAAAACGAGTTTAAAGCTCATGCATTAAAAAAAAAAATCTTATATGTAAGACTCTTGCTGTGCCATAGGAATTTAAAATAGGTTAACAATGTTAATGCAGTCTAAGACAGGAACTCATATTTATCTGAGAAAGGACTACAGTGTGTCTGTGTGTGTGTGTAAAGTATTTTCTGAAGTTTTATTTCGGAAGTCTTTTTCAGAAGGTTTGCTCTAGTCTTCTGACCTCAATGAGACTTACAGACTAATACCTTTCAATCTATCTTTTATATCTTTTCCACATTGAAGGTTCCCAGAGCAATTTGATAATCGTCCTTTGCTTTACACTGTTGCTTTTTATTTCGTTATCTCTGTATAGCTCAGAAACTTTAAATAGGCCTCTCAGAGGAGTAACCACAGCTTGGTAAGTGGTAATCAATTAAATTAAATTGGCCTTCTCAATTCCCTGTGTGAGGTGGGTAGCAGGTCTTGAGGCAAGGAAGGGGCATGCTCCAAGCTATTGATGGCTGTAGTCATGGTTGAGTGAGCAGCCCAAGTTGAGGGTAGAAGAAGGAATTGAGGGACTCTTCATTCCCCCCCCGTTAGCCTTGGGTGATTCTTGTGAGCCTTTGCAAGGTCAGAATTTTCAGAGAGGGCACGGAGATTCTTGGATGTAAAGGCCTCTGTGAAAAATGTATCATACATAAATACAATGCTTTCAAGGACTCCTGGATCTCACGCTGCACAAACAGTACTTCACCAACACCCTCCAAAGCCTATTTGTGGCAAATACTCCATTTTGCAGAGATTTGCATGGTTTGCCTAGGATCTAGTCTAAATCATTCGAATGATTTACAATAGAGAACTGTCCAGGCTGTGAATAGTCCTAAATGCAGATTGGACTGGAATCTCTAGCAGCTCTCCTGTATCCTTTATTAAGCCCTGAACCTTGCCTGAAGTGTGGCTCCACAAGGCCGCCCTCCTAGCTAGCGACAGCTGATACTCACCCTTAGCCCGGAGAAGGATGAGGCAGGGCCCTGGGGTAGGTGGTACTTGCTCATTCTATGTGAGGAGCAGGGAGGCCAAGTCAGAGGGGCCTGGCCGAACTGCAGTATTCGAAGTGGGAAGAGGGGCCCTCATTTGGGGCTGATGCACAAGGCTGCCGGTTAGTGTAGCTGAAGGTGTCAGAGACCCACCGTAAGAGAAGAACTCCAAGCTGTGAGTGGCACATGGATATCCCGAAATGACTGCTCAGGAATCTCATCCCCATCAGGAGCTCTGGGGAGGCAGGGCACTCGCGCTCCCAGGGCCTTCACCAGGTGGGCCATAGAAGGGTCACGTAGACTTGGCAGTGACCACCAGCAGCTGCATCTCCCGTGCCAGTGGGCCAGAAGTGTTCCCAGAGCTGGGGGTAACCAGAGCAAAAACTGAACCCTTCCTTTTCTAAGCTCTCAGGACTGGCTGTTCTGCTTCCAGAGGCTCTCCCTCTGCTAGTGTATGCATTGTGGAAATCACAGTCCAAGACTAAGGTAACATTAAAGGTTTACCCCATTACATTTAGAGCTGCTTTTAACTTTCTCTTGAGCCCAAGACGACTCCTCCATGGTCTGTGGCCCTGGTGCTGTAGGTGCCACAGGAGGCCCACAAAGAAACAACTTGAGGGGCTACATTGGTGGCTCCTGAGTTCTTGGTAATTCAAGGCTCAGCAAGTTCAATGGGCAATACAGCACATTCTCAGGGTACTCCGGAAAAACTGCATTTCAGCCAGATGCTTCAGGTTCACAGGAGGGCCCCAGTGTCTGCAGGTAGTGTGGAGGGTGAAAAGAGTCAGAGATAGCTGCATACAAAACCCAAGTCTGCTCTCTCTATCAAGGCTCTCTGAGCCTGAGTTTCATTGCAAGAGGGTGAGGGAGGAATAAGTCCCCCCCACCCCCGGGGCTGATGTAAAATAGTTACTGACGTATATGCCTAGCATAGTCTCTGGCACACAAGATGTGCTCCAGAATGAAAACTACTTCTTCTTTACTGATGCATTAGCCTGTCAAGGTTAATCCACATGAGACACTGGTCCAAAGGGACCTTGGCCTGGCTGACAGGAGGGCCGAATTCCAGTCCCAAATTAGCACTAGCAGGCTCTGGAACTACCTCTCTCACCCTGTTTTCTACTAAGTCTTCCTTATGGAGGGGAGGTATGCTTGGACCCTGGAGTCCGAAAGCTTAAGGTTCAGATCTGGGCTCTGCCACTTACTGGGTTCATCCCATGAAGCCTCCTCTCCCCATCTATTAAATGGGGAGGGAACAAGCCAATGCATTGGAAAGCTTTAGCACATGACTGGCTCTGAATCTATGTTAGCTCTTGTCACCTTGAAGAAGACCCAGAGAGACTTTTTGACCGTGGTGAGTACAGAATACAGGGGGCATCTTCCTTGCAGAAATGCTGCTGGGAGGAAGGGAATTCACCCTTCTCTGGACACAAACTTTGGTGACTTCTGCACACACCGGGGCATGCTGCGTGTTGCCTGCACCCATGTTCTGCATGCCTACGTCAGCTCCCTCATTGGTCCCAGGAAGACTGTCTACCTGGATGGAGATGACACTTTTTACTGCAGACAGAGCGAGTGGAGAGAGATTACTGCTAGAGGGCAAGAACAAGAGGTTTCAGGTGGGGGGGAAGAAACCAAATCTGCCATTTTGGGGTGTGTGGTTCCTTGATGTCTAGCTAAGGCAAATCAGTGGTCTGGTGTCATACAACCCAGTTGCAAGAAAGGTAGATGGGGAGGAGGAGTTTTCCTGCTTTTCCGTTTTTGTAGTGGGGTCATGAGTGAGGGGGACAGACCCCAGAGAAAGCCTAGTCACCAAGGTGGGCTCCTGGCTTGGCTTAGATCCTCAGCCAGATGGCTTAGATCAAAGTCACTACAGGAAGCCCCAAATTGCAGCAGGAAGTGTTTGCCGCCAGCCCCCAATGGAAACTTTCCTCGACTTGTTGGTTGAGAGTAACTGTGCAACACTTGACTCCTGCCAGACTACTAGAGGGAACTCTCTAGCAAACTCAAAAGGCAAAAAGAAAAGAATAGATACTAAAAAGGAATGAAGTCAGCAAAATTTACTTATTCCAAGAAGCAACGTTTCCCCACCCCGCCTTTGTCCCCCCAACCTTTTTCCCTCCCATGAGTGGTTCCGTGTTACTGATGATTGACAGGTGACCCCCTGCTGTTGTGTTCTTTAAAGAACATCAGCAGTGTCTGATATCAGAGGCCCAGAATGATTTAAAATACAGCCACGGCAACCTGCAAGTTGAACTTTAGCCTAGAAATGACAACCAACAAATGGTATCCACTAATATTCCTCTGAAATGGCTTTCGGTACAGGAAAGGACACCAAGCCAGCCACACAGTGTGAATTTACTCAGAACCACAAGAAGATGGATGGAGATGCAGTGTTGACAGCTCTCCAGCTGGTTGCTGCGAACCAATTGTCAAGCATTCAAAAATATCACCTTGGAATTCATTTAACCTTTAGAAACTGGCTGGAACTAACTGCCACATTCCTGGAGCCCCACCTGTATGCAAGGAGGGCTATAAATGTAAATCGTGGGCTCTGGTTTTAGAAGAGCAGAGAGATTTCCTTCTTCTTTTTTTAATCCAACATCTCTGCACACATCTGTACAAACCTCTGTTTTTGCTTATGTCAAGGAAATGCCTTGTGAGTGTGGGCTCAGGGCAGTGAACTGAGATGGTGCTGGAGGGACCCTCTGTTCCTGTCTGCTCGCTGGGTCAGAGGCCCAACAAACCCTCCCTTGTTCTTGGTGAGAATCTGTATTCAGCCATACCTGCCTCTCGCGTTTGTAGGAATAGGGAGTCCCCAGATGGTTTTAAGACCCTCAGAGCAGGGGCCTAGCTCTAGAAGTTCTTTCCTGAAATCTACCTAGGTGCTTATTCAGCATGCGTAGTACTGAGTCTCTGCCCCCAAAGAATTTATAATTTGATTGTGGAAATATAACACACACACACACACACGTGGAATCACAGTGGACAGTGCAAAACGGCTTATAACAGCCCATCCCTGGGTCATAGTGTGGTGGTCATATTTGTTTTGACAATCTTTCTAATTTATACCTTCAATAGAATGGGAGATACTCAAGGGTTTGGACTCTGTCTTGATGCCACAAGCATTTTGTTGAGCAACTACTCACTACCTGGCACTGTGCTGGGAATGTGAGGTGCGGGTATAAATATGGATCATGACCACTAGGAGAATCTCCATTTAGTAGGGCAGATTAGTGCCTGAGCTACCAGAAATTACAACGCAATGTGATGGGCATACCAGAAAGAGTGACTGACTGCCTGAGGAAGGTTTCTCTACAGGCAGTGGCATTTGACTTTGGTGTTGAAAAGTAAGAAGGGCATTCTAAGCTTCAGGGAAGGGGACTAGAAGAGGGAAGGAGGGAACGGCGCTCACAGGTACAGAGGATGAAGAAGCATATTGTGTTTTGGAATCAACAAGAGAAGTTTGCTCTAGCTGGAGTGTGAGAATCTGTGTGGTTTGGGGGTTAGGGTCGGGAGGGGCAGGAGATGAGGTGAAAGACTTAGTTTGGGGTGCCATTTTATGAAAGGCTGAAGATACTATATGAAGAGACTGGTCTTTATTATATGGGTACTAGAGAGCCACCGAAAGTGTTTGAGCAGTGGCATAGTCAGGTGTGGGTTCTAGAAAGATCACACTGGCCAGCATAGAGGCTGCAGTGGTGTAAGAGAGAGCTTGAAAGCAGCAGAGCTCCTCAGGGCACCACCGTGGACCAACTTGTACATGGAATTTTTCAGTTGGGAGAGAGGAGATCTGAGGGTGGAGAGGAGGGGACTGAGCGGATATTCACTGAGGAGTTCATTCAGCAGACTTTTACTGGGTGCTTCTCAGATGCAGAGGCTGTGCTAGGACCTGGGGATAGAGTAAGATACAACGTGATCCTGCCCTGAAGGAGCTTGCCATCCCGCATGAGAGACAAACAAGCGAGCAGTTACCTGATGGTGTGTTAAGGAGATAGCAGCGGTGTGGGTGAGCCATGGAAGCGGAGGGCGGAAGTGCCTGGCAGGGAGGAGGCACAGCGTGGAGGCCTGGGGTGGTCAGCAGAGGCATCTCAGGGACAGGGTGTCTAATCTGGGGTTTGGGTCCGAAGGTACTGAGTTCCACTGTAGACAGAATAAGTTAAAAGTACTTGCAGAACGTCCCCACGGAGAGACCTAGGAGGCACCTGAGAACATGGGTGGGCCCTGGACTATGGTGGATGCTGTAGATATATACTCGGGAGTGTTGATGTATCAGTGAGAGCTGAAGCCATGGACTTTGGTACAATTGCCTAGAATTGTACAGAACAGGGAGAAAAAGTAGGCAGAGCCCTGGGGACCACTGACAATCAAGGGGGCAGGTGGAGAAGCCATGGAAGGGGGTTGAGAGAGACATAGGGGAGGAAGCAGGCAAAGGCGGCATCTCAGAAACCAGGTAAAGAAAGAATAAACATAAGCTTAAACATGTAATTGGTATTTAATAGTTGGTTGCCTGGAAATGAAACAGAAATAAAGGCATTTCACTAGCATAGCATATTCCTTTTAAAAGAAATCTGAAGCATACTTATTTTTTCCAGAAGTACACACCCTTTAATATATGAGTATAGATTAGTCTAGGAAAATAACAACAACTGAGCTCATGATGTAAACAATATCATTGCTGTTTAGTGGAACTACTCCTCTCTCCTCTCCAGGGATAAATGAATTCTCTCAAATTTCTGCCCATCAGTCAAAATTTTACGTTCAATTGAGTGTTCATTCTGAATTTAAGATGATTCTATGACTTCAAATGCCTAGAAAGTTGGGCTTTGGTAAATTGAAAATAATTTTTCTAAAGTGATGGGCTAATCTGAAATCTATATATTTTTTTCTTGTTTTGATTTTTGCAGCCTAGATTGTAGGGCGTATTTCTCTGATTGTACCAGTGTCCTGCTCCACTGGGGACGAGGGGAATTCTAAAGCCATTCCTTATGGGGTGGCTGCTGGCACTTAGTGGCTATTTATTGAATGAATGGATGATGTACTATTGTCCCTCCTAAATATTGATTCACATCTCAAAGGTGTCTGTATTCAATGAAATGAAAAAGAAAGCATTTTAAAACCCATAACTGAGTAATTAGAAATTAAAACTACTGCTCATTCTCTCTCCTTGTTGTGGGTACAGTATTGTGCACAGAATGCTGCCCTCTGAAATCCTGTCAAGAGCTACCGACTCTATAAAAGCTTCTTGCAGAAAATCTTTGCTAAAGAATAAGCAATAGAATGTGGCCTTCGAATTCCCAAAGACTTGCATTTCTCAAATTATTTCAACATCTGGATTTAGTTTATTCTCTCAATAAGTATTGATTGAGAGTCAATTATATGCTAGGCACTGAGAAAATGCAGTGAATAAAACATTAGACGATCCCGTTGTCATGGAGCGTACACTCCAGCTGGAGGAGACCAGCGATCACAAACAAGGATATAATGTGTGTTAGTGGTGATGAGCGCCCAGAACAAAAGTAAAGGGGGGAGGGGAGTGGAGAGCAATGGGGAAGCAGCTGCTATTCTAGAGGGTGGTTAGGGAAGGACAGGTAAGCTAGAAGAAGACCTAGAGAAGGAGAGATGTCTGGGTGGAGGGGGCTGCCATATGCTTAGCTGGGTCCCCCTACAGCTTCACCCTACCAACAAGGGGTTAGGGGTGTGGGGAGCATGGACTCATAAATGTAAACACCAGCCCAGCCAGGAGCCCTATAGTCCTGTAAACATTATGATACATAGCTTAGATAATAGCTACTAAAAATCAACTCTTCAATTGTAACTGTAAGAATTTTTTGCGGGTGACTTTAAAATAAAACAACTTCCATTATTCAAAAACCTAGAATGGCAACCAGCTCTTAGAAATGACTAAAATGACCTACTAGTATTCCTTTTTTTTTTTTTTAATGGAGACTTTTGCTCCCCTGCCGAGACCATGTATTATATCTAGTTTCACATCAAAATGAATTTTTGCTGCTAAGTTTGAAAAACGCCTGAAAATAGCAATTAATATTGGAAAAGCTGACAGAACCTTAAGTGTAGTGGTATGATTGGTGCTGCTATAATTATGTGCCTGAGTGTGTACATGTCTGTGTAAACACAGTATGAAAACACATGTGATGTCCAGGACACTGTATCAGTGTATTTTCTTGCAGGTAAATGAGGGGAAGAGGGAGAGGGAGAGAGACCTGATAAAATCTTTCCAGCACTGTTAAGTGGTGGAGATGTTTCTAGTCTTACATCTACATAACCTTGCTTTTCAAATTATTTTCACATTCATCACCTCATTTGATCCTCATGACTTAATGGAGTTGCGGGGGGCAGACTTTGTTCTTCCCATTTCATGAGTGAGAAACCTTGATGGGTCAGCTGGGGTGACTGAGGAGATTGGATTATGTCATCCCCAAGGTCCCTTCTAGCTCAACAGTTCCATGGCTTTTTTTTTTTTCTTTCTAATTTTCCTGAGGTGACAGCTGTGTAATGGTGGAGACTTTTTAAGCCCAGAACCCTTTCTGCCACATATCCTCATATTCTTCAAAACCTTTGCTGCATGTTTAATCATCTGTAAAATGTAATGTCTACTTCACAAGGTCGTTGAGAAAATGGTTGATGGGATGAAAGGGAAGGTTCATGAAGCACCTTGCACAGTGGTAACTATTATTATTATTATTGCCATCACTATTACTAATAAGGAGGCGATAAGATGACGTGGAAAGAGCATCAGCATTGGAGGCAGGTATGTTTCCAGTCATTTGCCGGTTGTGTCATCTTGGTCAACTATTCAACCGTTCGGAGCATCCTGTAAAATGGAGCTGATCATACCTACATTGTTGGGTGGTGGGAGGAGTCAATGAGACAAATAGAGTTCCTATCCCAGAGCCTGACATGCACTGGATGCTCAATAAATAGTTGGCAGTAATATATGAGAAACCACCTTTCATAAGAAACTGGGATATATTTTCATGATTCCCTCAAAACCTGAAGTGGCATTTCATAGAAGTGAAGTATAACCTTGAAGTTAACAGAAGCATACAGTCATCTTTTAAACAATAAGGAAAGAAGATTCTGAAGTTCAGCTGTTCTGTGCACATCTCAGAGGGCGAGGGAAAGTCCATGTGCATCCAGGAGTTAGCAAATGGACATCACGGAGTTTCATGTCCAGTGGTCTTCTGAAATCCAGTGTATAGCTTATTCAAGATCATCCATTCTCCCCACTGCAACAATCTCATGAGGTTGTGCAGTTTATTTAGAAAAGCCTGCTTACCCTCATTATACCACTTTCTTTGAAAAGCAATCATTTGAGTACTGTGAGGAGCTGCTTTGCTCTAATGATGACTATTATGAAGGATTCAATGAAGTTGGAAACCAAGATCCTGGAGCCTTGTCTCTGACAGCATGGTCACAGAAAAGGCTGGTGGCAGGGCTGAAACATGAAAGTTCTCTAACAGAGATTGCTGTTACTTGTCTCTATGGAAGATTTCTTGGTATTGAATTTCCAGGGTACAATAAACTAACATCTATAAGCATCCGTTGCCACATGCTCTGGAGCTGTGTTGGGGACACATTGGCAACAGCTAAGGAATCTCCAGGTGGGTGGCACTGCCGTGGACCAGTTGCTCTAAAAGCAGTTGGTGGTTTGAACCACTGGACCCAAGAGAGGTGTGCATTGTACAGAATACCAACTTCGAGCCATGTTTTGTTTGTTACATGCATGATTGGAAAAGGATAAAACATAGCAACATTTGAATAGGAAATATACATATTTTGTCTTACTTGATGTGTATCTATCCTTGAAATTATTCTCACTGTGAATGTCCATCCTGTGTGGACGTCTCAAGAACAATTGTGTTTCCTACCTGAGAGCAGTACATTAAATGCTTTACCTAGTGTTTGTTATGTTTGGTTGCCTTTCAGTTTTAAAATGTGTGAATTTCCTTTTTAATGTTCTAGGGGAAAGCAATGGTATTTGCCCCACGCCGAGGGAATACTTTAAACCAGTTTTGCAATCTAGCTGAAAAAGCTGATTTCTCTATCCAAAGACATGAAAATTATGATGAACACATTTCAAACTTCCACTCCAAGGTTAGTTTTCTGCTTGTGTTAGATAACACTTTAATCCGCATTGCATTTTGAAGAGATCATGGTCTTTTTGGCAGGTAACCTAAATATTTGATTAAAGTACTCCTTAGGTGTGCTGCTTCTGAACAGCTATTTGTATCTGATTATTTTGTGTGGTAAAGCCATCTTTTATCTTCGCATGTCTAGCAGGATTTTTCAGAAACCATTCCTGTTTACTCCTTTCTCTGAAACAAACTAATCTTTTCATTCATAATAGACTAATTTGTAGGATGCAGGGGAGGTGGCATAGAATGAATGATAAACAAGCATTTATATTTTAATGAAAAAACCTTCGGCTTTTAAGTAGGTTAAATGCTCAGCTGCACTGAAATAAATAGAAGGTGAATGTCTAATTGTGTCATGTTGGACTGTAAATCTTTATCTCTGCTTGCTTTATGGCTGGGTCAGTTGGCAGTTTGAGACTGTTAAATCTCATACAGAATTTCACAGTTGTGGGGTTATATGTCAGATCGAGGAGCTACAAGATTTAGGTCAAAAGCACTTATCTGAGAGTGATTTCTAAGCTTGCTTACATAAAGCAATGTTATCAGCCTTTTTATTATTTATAGGCATAGAGCAATATAGGACACTGAGAAGCAAGTGTTCCACTGAAAACTTTTTAGGAATCTCACCTTTGCTAAAACATATCACACTTAGTAGTATAACATATATTACTTCTGTAATTTTGTGCCTTACAGAAATCTCCCTTCTCTGAGCTAGTCTGACCTGGGCAAAAGACTTTGAACTTGTCATGATTTTACAAGTTGCGAACGCAGAAAAGTAAAGCCCTGACCTTAATTTTCTCCTGGGAAAATGGGAATAGCATTCTTTGTTACCCAGGACTATGATATAATATAGAAGTATATTGACATTTGAAAAATTATATGCAAAGTGGATCTGATCTTCAGGCAAGAGAAAGAAGATCCTCACTTTGTGGAGATGGTTTCATTCTTCTGGGGTCTCTAAGGTTTCATTTAGCTTCCCCCTTCCTCCCCCGCCCCCCCCCCCGGGCGGCAGTTGGGGGGGGCAAAGATGCTTTGTGAACTGAAAGGGTTAAATCACCTCCTCTGGATGGTGGGATTGCCCTTTGCTTAGGATCAGAAAATAAAAAGAGAATGGCGTGTTACTCAAATCTTGCCTGCCACTCTAGAATAAGGCTTTCCCTTTTGCAGCCCCTCCCCAGAATAAAAGGAAAGGCTCTGAGGGCTTTACCTGGCAGGGGAAGGGTCTCAACCGGCCTGTGGGCTCCTCTCCCCAAAGGGGCAAAAACAGGCTTCTGTCCTGGGTCAGGCTAGAGCTACAGGGATCAGGTGATGGCTGCTTCAATGCCATGCCTTTCACCTTCCCCCTGGAACAACAAATGCTTTCAGTTTCTCAATCACAGATCAGGAGAGCAAAGGCAAGAGTTTCTCCACCAGCAGCGATGTTCAGCATTGTGCCTGATACCCTCCATCTCCTCCCTGCAAGACTGGAGGTGTATGGGGACATTGGAGTCCTTAGTGGCCACCTCTCCTTTGTCTAGAACTTAAGATTGTCAGTGGCTAGGGGACAGCAACTTCCTCTTTTTATTTCCAAGGCAGTACACTACCCTGCTAAGCATAGCACGTTCCATAAATCACTAGACATGCCTCTTGCATTTATATTGTGCAACATACCCACAGTTAGTACTCCATAAATAATCGGGGACTGATGCATTCCACAAAAGTAAATTTCCATAAATAACTAGGTGACCTTAGTCTTTAATCTTCATTATTGCTTAAAAGTTAAATTCTCCACTTTGCTGACACTGGACTAAGAAAACAGTTTCCCTCCTCTTTAGGTTGTGAGGAGTGAGAGTTGCATTTGGTTCTCAGGACCTGGAACCTGCCAGGGGAATATTCTTCAGGGTTGGGGCACCCTAAGTAAAGGGTACAAACGTGAACCCATGATGTGTATTTCTAATGGGGGGGCAGTTGCAGCTGGTCTGGTGTTCTCCTGCTTCTAGCAAGAGAGTGCCTCTTGTCCCTTCTGTACCAGAAGCATAGAATGCCTGCTCTCCTGCTCCAGCCCCGCGGATAGCCGTGCGCTGACTGGCCGGCGACAGGCTGGCACGACCCAAGTCCAGGTCGTACGTGGAGGTCTCCTTTGCAACAGCAGGATGCCCAGAGTAGGCCAAGGGCCAAGGTGGGGAGTGGGGGGAGCGGGGAGCGCCCCTGCTCCTCGCCGAGCCCCAGTGCTCTTCCCCGGGCGCCCCCTCGGGCCCTTGCCCGCCGCCCGCCCGGGGCTCCGGGGACGCGCAGGGGACCGCGCGGCCGCCGGGAACCTCCACCCTGGCCGCTTTTGTTTGCCGCGTGCTAATAGCCAGGGCTTAAAAGTTTTCCATCTTGCGCGGCAATCAGCTTTCTTCCTCTCCATCTCTGGCCAAAGCCCCACGGTCCCTGGGCCGAGCCTGCTCGCAACCGGAGGAGCCGCGTTTTCCTTCAGGCTGCGTGTTATCCTCTTAGCCCTACTGTGTTGGAATAGAGCGTAACCAGCTGGAGGACTGTAAGACGCCTGATAATGCCGCTCTTTTCCGCTGTCCCGTCTTAATCTTGTTACACAAATGGTTGTGAAGAGATTCATGAATTTTAATTTTGCCCTCTGCATTAGTGCCTCACGTCACTCATACACAGCTGGCTTCTCTGCTGAGTTTTTCACCCCTCCTCTTACAACAGGGGGAAAAAAATTAGTTACAGTCTTGGCAGTAGTGCAAGGTAAAAAAAAAAATCTACAGATTTAGGCAACCACCCATGAAGCTGATTAACAGTCAGTGATCAGGAGGAACAGCTTTGCCTCTTAAACTTTTCACCTCTCATTGTTAACTGTGAAATTTTATTTCCGTTAAAAAGCAAGCCTGTAATCAAAACGGTGCCATTCTGCACTTTTCTGCCAGTGCTTTTGTTAAATTGTGCCCACACCATGCAGCCAGCGTGCTCAGGAACCAGGCAGCCAAAGGTGTAGTGTGTTTGAAAAATATTGCCTTTCTGTTCTTCCAGGCAACCGGGAGGAAAAATAAACCATTTCCCCTCTCCTTCCTTCTCTTGGTCTCCTCCAGGCTGGGAATCCAATGCCTTGCCCAATGGTGTGGCTCCAGACCTTTCGGATGTTCAGATAAGCACATTGTTTCTCAAGGCAGAGACCTAACTTAGCCATTACAGCTGGCTTGAAATTAGTTGATAAAAATACTGTCGTTCGTGCAAGTATTCTCTGAGATCTAATTTTACGTGCCACAGTTTTGTTTTGGGTTTTGGTTTTTTTAACTTTTGCAAAACCACCGGTGTGTTTATTTTCCGTATTTTTTATACTTAGCCATGAAAACAGGCTTGGGCTCGTTTGCGCGAGTCAGTACATTGTGTTAAAAGCATGGCCATATTGCACTTCTGCTTATCTATTCAAAATGCCACATTACAAGTGGCTGGTGCTTATAATCTGTGTGGTGTGCTGTTGATAATTGTGGATCCTGTAAAGGGTAAACAGTCTGAACTCCACTCCTGCTGCTGTTTCCCGTGCGGCGCCGTGGCGAGGCTGAGCGTGTTACATCCAATTATGAAGTAAAGCATAATGCTCCTAATAGCAGCTATGTAATTTAGTTCAGTCCTCAAAGACCCTGTTTTAACCTCTGAAATTGAAAAATTGTTTTATTCACAATTTGCTTTTTGTTCATTTTTTTTCCCTGAGGTGTCTTTTTATTTCTTAAAATTATAATTATTAATTGAGCAAAGAAGTACAGCCTGGGTAAACCACATCACATTCCCTCATCGAAAGCAAGTATTTCCCCACAGCCTCGTGTGTGTTCAAGTGCCCTCACATAGCCAACTTGGTTTCAGAACTGATCTGCTGGGGTAGAATATTGCCTTTGAGGGCTGTCGGCTCTTTCCCCATCTCGGGAAGGGCTCACAGTCAACATGGGGCTGGCCCCCGGCCCCTTCTAGCAAGGAAGCCTCTGCTTTGGCCTCCAGAGGTCAGCACAGAATCCAAGTTAAAAGTGATTTCTAACCCATATTTACAGAAGAATTATTTATCCCACATATTACCTCAGGGACTTTATAAAGAGCTCATTTGAGTCTCTGTATATTAGTGCATTGTGAGTGAGTAGGTCAGCTGACTCACGCTGAGTAATCAACTTTCCCTGATCCCCAATCCCTGAGGAAGAATTGAGCTAGCTTGGCCCCCTCTTCCCTCTGTAAAATATTTCAGTGAGCTCCTTCTATCACTAGGGCAACTGGCAACAAAGGTAATTTATAGTTGGTAGGTCCTGGTTAGTGGGTTTGGATTGGGAAGTTTGGGAAGCCATTTTCTTGGCTTTTTTTTTAAAGGGTGATGTTAAGGGACCGTGTGCTTACAATTAACAGTCCCGACTTTGGTGGCAACACAAATCCAGAGGATCTTTCTAAGGTAGACAACTAATCATCTGTAAACAAAGCAAACTCCATCTAAGAAAACAGAATGCAGTTACTTCAGTGATTGTACCATCATTTCTTACGAAAATGGATTAGAAAGTAAAGACGGGCTTGGCTTTCTCTTCCCCAGTGAGAAAGGAAAAGCAGTCTCATTGCTCCTTGTCCTTAACAGTGAGGGTATGTCACAGTTTGGGAATATGATTTAGAAGAAACACAAAAAAATTCAAGGTAATATGCCCTAGACCTATACTAATCCAGGAAAGTGTCATGTTTGGAGCCATTCATTTAGTTTCGGGGGTGAAGGGGGGTAATCTGATTCAAAACAATAAAAGAATTGAGTCCATGCATAATTAAATACCTGTTTTCTGATTCTTATCAATTACAAAATGAATTAACGGCTCAAAAACCCCAATTTCAAAAATGTTAATTTTGTCTTTATAAATAGCAAATTACTGTTTGCTAGGATAAATACAAATATGGCTGTCAAAATTCTTCTAGCCAAATGAGGAAAAGAGTACTTACTCTAGCTTTGAAAACTCTGATTGGATTTTTAAAATCTACCATGGAAAGGCCCTCAGAACCTCACTTGAATGGTATGGAAGCTCTAATTGTTGGACTACCTTGTCCTCCTCAGAAAAAAAAAATTTGTAATTATCATTACTAGTAAAACCCCCAAGAAGCAGCCGGAGAGCCTTTGAAATGTCTTAGGCCCGGAAGCCCGTCCCTTGTGCCCAGGAGCTGCCAGTCTCCAAATGATCGGAAATGCCTGCCTGCCTTGTTCCTGGGGCGCAGGTGAGAGACAGAGTGGACCAAGAGCAGAAACTTCTATACCAAATGGCTGTTCTGGTGCAGATGAGCGAGGCTCCAGTTCTCCCTTCACTGAAGTGCCCCACAGTTCATAGAGGTCACAAATGCGGTCCGGCTATTTATGAAAAAGCTCCCTGCCCTCCTCCTTACCCCCGCCCAAGGAAAGATTCCAGCTTGATGGATGCATAGTCCTTTCTTGCCAATGCCACTGAGAATTACTTTGCATTGCCTTTTTGCGATTTATTTACCGGAACAATATATTCAAGTAAGAAGTCTTCATTATACTCAATATTAAAAACTACTGGTAAAAAATCCTAAGCTGAGTCTCCTTACCTTTTTTTGTTCTATGATTGTTTTCAGTTGCAAAAGGAGAACCAGGACGTCTATGAAGAAAACCTTCATTACCCACTTCTACTTATTTTAACCAAAAATGGTTAGAAGATTAAGCTGCTCAAAAGACGAAAACACCAAGTGCACAGGGCATATTGTCACAAAAACAGAAACCTGTGATGGGTATGATATGCAGCAAGCCTTTGGCTCCCTGAGATCTGTGAACCCCCTACCACCTCTGCCCCATTCCACATGTGGGTTATGGGGCCCACCTGTCCTCACTCACATCATTCCCCAGCTTTCCTGGACTCCTTTTTTCATCTGCTCTTCTTGGACCAAACTTTTGTCTTTACGTATCTACAAACAACCTGAGATTTGAATTGGACTCAGGAGAGACCTAAATCTTTTTCCTCCTAATTGAGACAGAATTTCTTTTGGTGATCCCCACCCCCCCCTTTTCAAAAAAGATCTTGGTCTTTGTTCTGTTTTGGTGGTGGTACTTTTTAATCTGTAAACACAGCAAACATCATGATTCTTTCCTGGTTAAAAAAAATAAATAAAGCCTATCTTTCTCATCTCCTTCAAATTAATTGTATTAAATCTGCCATCTTTTTTTTTTTTTTTTTGCTGTCCCTCTCACTCATTCTCTTTCTCCTTTTAAACAGGATGTTTTTTTTCCCTATGGATGTATAAGAAATGACTACATCAGCCCAAAGCCTCATAAACTGACCGTTTGTCCTCTGGACACAATAGCGTGGCCAACCCTCTGCCCCTCCTCTCCAATTATGTGTGATTAGTCTCAATGTGTTGTGTCAAGGAGGAGGAGTGTGCTGAGTGCTTATTATCTGTTTAGGTACAAGAAGAGCACATTTAGGCTCTGACTATGAATGAAAAGTGAGCCTTTATCGGGGCTCACATCTAACTGCTGCCGTTCTCCAGACCTCTTTCAAAATAGGTCCTTGCCAGAGAAATTTTGAATAAATGGCTAATAAACTAGATTGCAACCAGGGGGAGTTTTTCAAACCTCAACCACACAATTACCTGATTTAAAGGAAGCACATATTGGTGTATGCTGTGATTCAAGTGTGTAGTAAACATTTACTAGGTACTACCTAGGATTAAGAGAGAATGACTTTTCTGCAGGGAACCCAAGCATATCCTTGCCTGGTGCATCCACGAGACACTCTAATGCCTTTTGTGGAAATTCAGATGTTTATCTGTAAGGAATCATCTGGGCCCACTTTAGCAGTAATGTCATTAGTAGGTTAGCTCTATATTCTCCTATCTTTAGTCGAGGCAGAGCGTGTATTTAGTGGGCTGCAATTAAAGGGATAGGTGGGAGACCGGGGGCAAATCCTTTTGCATGTTAAACAAACTTAACGGTCATAAAAACAGCCACTCTCAAATGTCTTCTCTGCTCACTTCTATCATCAAACAAATTTTTCACCATCAGTTTGCATGTCCTTGTATTCACCACTCTTTCTGCTCCATTAGAGCACCTAGATGGATCTCGGAAGGCATAGGTCAAGTCGCAGTTAGATCATACATTTCTTTCTCACAAAAACTTGAATTGCAATGCCAAGTGATGGGCTAACATCACAATAACAGCAATTTATTCCTCTTTGGATAAAACAGCAGTCTATTCTCAGTGCTAGATAAAGACCAGGGCAATGCAAACCAGCCATTTAGCTGAGTAGTTCAGCTAGTGGCAGCTCTCCTTTGGCGACTGTATAGGTTGCACACTGGCTTCATATTTTCTTGTTTAAAAATTAGAATTTGGAATGTTTTAAAAGGCAACACAGGTAGTTCCATTTATACTGGTGAAAATACAGCAGAAATGATTTCTTCTGGAAAACCTGCAACTAAATCTGCCAGACAAAGAAAACCCATCCCTATAGTACCACCTAAGATGGTCTGTTCTGTTTCTTTTCTTTGGAAATGTAGAGAATATTTTCTTTGTTTTCTCACGAAAATACATGAATTGGCAAGAGTTTAATTTGCGTTTGTGTGTCCTGGGTGTAGAAATCCAGCATTTATTTCTTTGGGAGAAATTTTATTTTTAAAAAGTGAGCTAGTAGTAATATATTCTTTAAAAAAAAAATAGCTGAGAACGGTATGTGTAGTTTCCTAAGCTTGAGACATGGTGTAAGAATTGAGCTGTTCTTACCAAAAGATACCTAGTAAAGAAGTATGCTTATTGTGTGATTAAAACCTAGAGAGTCTCCTGTAAAATACTAAAGGTTTCGTAGATCTGCTCTTTATGGGATCCTCACCTGGAAATATCTCTAGTCCAGGCTCTTTGGAAGTTTGTGAGAAACTCATGTGTATTATTGAAGAATTTGAAAGTGTTTTTATTTTCTCAAATTTTTAATGAAATGCCAATATTGAGAAGGAAAAAAATACATCTGCTTTAGAAAAGTTACCATCTTCATTTCTTTTGAACTTTATGATTAAGTATTATTTCTATGCATCATTGTTGGGTCATATAATTGCAATTGAAATACCCCCTTCCATAATTATCTATTAGGTAATTATGCCAGTGTTTGTTTCAAAAGGAAGCCTGTCTGCGTAGGAAATCATTAGAATTATTATGATATTCCTCTTCTCCATGTACCTGAATCCTCTGATAAAACTCATGATTTTCCTTTATCCTACTAAGTAGATTGGGTTGGATGTAAGAATGTTTCCCATATCACCCATGCTCAGTTCTAATGCGGTGATATGAACAGCCACATACAACTTGGTTATAAGAAATTTATTTTATAGCAAGATATATGCTGTGAATTGGGATAAAAGTGCTAGAAAAGACTACCTAAGAGGTTGATGCTATTTTGTATAAATTGTGTATTTTGTCAGCTTTTTGAGCATGAAAATGTAACTTCCATTAGGGAAGGGTAATTTAGGTGCTCAGTATTCAGCAGAAAACTTGTCGGGGCCATAAAAGCTTTTCTGGCTGGTTCCTCGGGTGTTTTCAGAGAAGAGCTGCCCACCCCTTGCTGATTTTCCCTTTGGCTTCAGTATGGGCTGAATTTACCAAGGCATACCTGTTGAATCAATTTGGGGGATCCAGCAGTTAACTGAGTGAATGGAAGGATTAGTGGCCCTCTGGAGCCCTATTTCAACAGCCAGGTGTCTGTCCTGAACTAGTTAACTGCTTTTGACAGTTGGAGAAGCTGGTTTTAATACCATAGGCAGGGGGTTGTGGTGGTGGTGGGTTTGTTGTTGTTGTTTTTTCCTTCTTCCCACTACCAAAGTAGAGCATACCTTCTCCTAAGGGTTAGGCTTTTGTTTATTTGTTTAATAGGAACGGACTGATCCCTTCCCTCAACCCAACTTCCGTGGAGTTTGTCTTTATGCTTAGTCAGCATTCGACCTGTTTCCAATCCATGCCAAACAATTGGGTGGCATTGTCCGACAGGACCCTTTCACTGGATTCTGGTAGGGGACATGGGCAGGACACCCACACAGAGGAGGGAATCATAGTGTATGGACACACACACACGCACACACACACAAGAGATGAGGCTGTTTAAACCCGAGATTGGGACTCCAGTTTCCAGATTGCAGGTATACTCCTCACCCCAGATCAAAATCTCCTGAGTTCAGACTGCATGAAATGTCATAATTATGCAGAGTGTATCTCATAGTTTAGAAAGATTGATTTGAAAGTCAGGGTCTCCTTAGAAACTGAATTTAGACAGGGCAAATATGTTTTCCCGAGTGGACTCTTTCCAAATCAGGAAGGAGCTTGTTGGTGTTTGACAAACCATTAAGCTTGAAATGCCACTTTTCATTCTCAGACTTTGTTTTACCCAGGAAGCTTACTGCCTAGGCTCTGGCTAAAAGCTCACTGTGCTCTCCGCCCTGGAAGCCTGCATTTGGAGGCTATATTTTGCCTTTTTTGTCCCTGACTTTTCAATTAATACTTTTTTTTAATAGATAAAACAGATCATACTGTGACTTTTAAAATGTCAACAAGCCTGTAAACAGAAATGTAATAAAATGGCTAATAGGAGATTCAATAGTTAATAGAGGGCCTGAAGTGTGAGCAAGTACAGTAGCTGTATATTGGAAAATGTGCAAGTGAAGATGGCTTTAGTATTGCAAACTGAGGAAGAAAATTATTTTTAATTAGCACCTTCATAAGAACTGCTGATTAATACTGTTTTGTTTGGTGAAAAGCTTTCAGCTGAGTAATTTGTACAGCCATTACAACAGTTTTGTTAGAGCGGCACTCCTGTTGTTAAACACAAACAGCAGATGATAATGGTAGAAGATGAGTTTGTCATGTAACAATTTACCTTATTGAAAAAAGCTTTATATAAAACCCAATACAGTAGGTACCAGCAGAAATCACATATTTTAAATCTTTCCCAAATTGCAGTGTGCCGTGTGTGTGTGTGTGTTTCAGGGACTAGAAGCAGATTTTATATCATTTATAAAATTATATACACAATTTAAAGGTGGTGTAGCATGGACAGACCACTTTTTTTCAGCAGCGTTTTACATTAGAGCAGTAAAGTGGCCGGGTATTCAAACACTTTCTAACTACACAAAGCAGGTTGGAAAATGGAATCCTAATTAAATAATGTTACTCAGATGGAAATTTGCATTGGGACGGGATGTAAGGAAGTAAAAATTGGTGTTTCTGCCTTAGGTGGGTTTATCACACATAGGATTTTTTTAAATCTCTTTCTCAAGGGAAGTTTAATTAACCTTCCCCCCCCCTTTGGAGGTGTTCTAACCCACCAGGGAAAAGAGTGCCCATACAGTGAGACTTGACCAGGGAATCAGAGGCTGATTTCAGTGAATTGCCATCATATGGATATTGTCCTAGCCACATGCATGGGAAATTTTTTTTTAGTAAAATGCAATGGTATAGCATATTTGCATTAAAATATTACACTAACCAAGGCTGGTAAGAACTGTAAATTATTGGAGTGGTGTAATATAGCATGAGTTTTTTGTGTGGTTTTTTTTGGTTTTTTTTTTAGACAGGCCTTCGGGGTAATAACAAGGGTTGAGGCTCACGACAGTGCCAAATAAGCTTTAGACAGCATAATAGTCTGCAAAGAAAGCCACAGAGCACTAATGTGAAGGAAGAGCTGTCCACCACATGCAGCAAAAATCACCAAAGGTCATTTTATGGTAGCAATTGTGACATAAAATTGGTGGTCATGCTACATGTCT